GTAGATGGGTTCCAAAGTTGTCGTCTGTGATAAGCATTTGACTGATGAAAATGTTGATCCCGTGCCGGTCACGTCCTTTATGGCAGACATTGTAGTCGGAAAGGGACAAAGGCCTTTGACGGAGGCCGAGAAGTATAAAATGGCCAAAAGTCATATGCGACCTATCCTGGAGAAGTTAAAGAGTTGTGGAACTGGACGATTCTTGGAGTTGTTGCGGGAGGTCAACGCATTTGCAGAACGTATTATGAATGCACCTGGTTGTCTACAAGGGTCGTTTGTCGACTCTCCTGCACAACCCAGCGGGGTTCCAATGGAAAAAGACGTTAAGGAGGAAGTTGTTCGTTGTATGGTAAGGGAGGAAGGTGATGTGTTTATCGCGCAGATGGTTTCTAGTGGAGAATCTTCTGTATGTGTTTTGCGCAATGACAAGCTACTTCCCAACTTCCGCATTCGTGGTCATCCGTGCATGCAACAGCCATGGCTGACTCGCAAACCTCTGAGAAGTCGCCCGATGAATATTACTGTCTCCACGAATATTGCCAGCACTAGTACTCATATGGATATTAAGCTGCCCAGTCGGCATTTGGGGGAGAACGTCGTGGACCTAAATGACAACCCGTTTGTAGACGCATGTGGTGCCTGCGGCGGTTATACGGTCGTTAGTATAGGAAATGTTTTGCAATGTGCTTCATGCCAACGTAAATTCCACAAAATGTGCGTTGCAAATCCACTTATCTGTGATTAGTTGGCTGTGCATGTTTTGCACCACCGTGACCGGAAGGTCTGAATGAGGCTGTGATGCGATAACTGACTGCGATCTCATTTTTTAATTTTTTGGTTTAGATTTAAATCTGTGATTAATGGTATGGCTGACACTTTTTCCGCGTGCATAAGTTATCGGGTGCAGACCTTGTCGTTCACTCCCAGCAGATGCATAACACGGCAATGCACTACCTCGGCCCAGGCGACCTACCCCCACGAAGAGTTTGAAGTATCAATCACAGGTAAGAACACTCCTTTAAATAATTTTTTGTAGGCCGATCTTCGACATTTGCATACAAAATAAGGGAATGGCAAGTAATTCATAAATGATGAGGAGGAGGAGGTAAGTTTCATCCATTCAACAGTGCAACGACAAGGCTGTCTTTTCTAGGTAATTGCACCAGAGTTCGCCCAAATGATAGTGTCTGCAGTCGAATACTATCGTTCTCGTAACTGTTCTCTGGAAAGAGGGGCATTTGCTTAGGCAGATGACATCTTTAAATAAAGATGCCCATCAGCCATCGTATATTATGCGAACGGCAACAACGCGCACGGTTAGACTCTTAATTTTGCTCTCACAACTTTCTAGTAGGTCAAGATGGAGGAAAACCGAAGTCAATTCCGCCAGAAAATGGGGATGTTACATACGCCCAATTCCGCGCAATCCAACTTCCTAAGACATTTGAATAAACCTACCATATTTATCTGCGTATCTTGCTAAGTTAGTGTTTCCATGATTAACTGTGTGGGTC